ATGCAGTCTTTCCTGCAGCTCCCATATAGAACAGATTCCAGGCAACAGATAAAAAAATCTGTACCACCCCCTTTGCTTCTCAATTCCTTGAAAAGACAAGAGAAAACTACAAGAAGCCTCAAGAATTATTAACCTAGAGAAAAGAAATCCAGGTCTGGAAGCACCGAATCAATAAAAGAAGCTTCCCAGGTGGAGCACAGGGTGGGGAGAGCTCTGAAGAGCAGTAGGTAATGAAGGAACACTTGCAGTTTGAACAGGGCAGACCAAAGCCACTACACTTACTGCTTTTCAAGACAGGGACTTTCACAGGCTGTATTCCATTCTGCTGGTATGTAGAGAATGTTGGGAAAAAGCCACCCAATGTGTCCCATCCTCAAAATCTGCAACGTGTTTTCAATCAGATCTGGATACCGAAGCCATCTCTGCTTGAATGTTAAAGAGCACAAGAGAGGATTCTCCTGTCCAGTCCTGGCCATTTCTTGTTCAATTATTCTTGTTCAAGCTTATCTCACAGCTAACAACTCCTTTTCCATTCTTGACTCCCTCCTAAACCTGTTATATTGCTTCTATTCCTATTTTCGCTCTTTTTACACCTTCTGATTTGTTAGTTCCTAGACCTGCAAATCCCCTTCCCCAGTCACCCTCTTCTCAGAAATCCCTTTTCCTTCAAACATTTCTCACCCTCCCTCCTACGGGCAGCTGTGCTGTGTGTCATCAGCCAGGCATGATTCAGGCTGGAGGCTCCGCAGTGCAAAGAACAGGTCTCACTTATGTTTGTGAATCCTTGTCTTAACTTTATGCTGCTGTATAAATGTTTAATAGGTAATAATGCGTTTGCTGGAACAAGCCGTGCGCTAATACCCAGCGAGACCGTTTGGATACAATCCTTGCTGACTGGCAGAAGCTTCTGGAATTACCAAAAAAAATAGAAAAAAAAAAAAAGCAGCTGTTCGGTGACACTGCAGTTTCACAGCTAAAGGATGCAACAGTTGAAGCCATCTCATCACAGCACTGGAAATGGCCCTGTCTGCTCTTTCCATGTTTAAATCAGGACAGAGTTTGGGAACTCAGCACTACAGGCACTGGGCTATTCTCAGCTACAACCCCTGTGCCTTATCTTCTTTACATTATCACCCTCCAGATCCCCACAGTAACTTAATTTTAAGCAAATATTTCCAATCTCTGCTTTCTCTTTCACGTTGGCTGAAAAGACAGGACTGGTCCTGTCCATGTTTCACACTGCTCATGCCATGATTTTTCTCTGGGTTTGAGCGTATCACGTCCTGTGCCACAATTAATTGTGAAAGAAGAAACGCCAGTGGCAGATCGGATGCATAGTTTTTATTTCAGGGACCAAGCAGGAGCTGGGTGATTCATCACTGACACCACACAGACAGCAAATGCTCAAACAAACAGGGAAAATGCGATGTCTTGGCCTCAGGGCCAATGAATAAAATATGGTGATGCTAATGGAGAAAACCCAATGGGGCAGCAGGAGTGTCAGGCCTTCGTGTCATCTAGCCTCGGGTTAGCAGCTCGTGGAGACGGAAGAACCATACCAGAAATTTCCACAACCAGCACGAACAGAAATCTTTGGGGTCTGTTCTCTCTCTATCAAGTTGCTCCTAATGGTGAAGCTGGTGATGACAGGTCTCATCCCATAATCTCAACAATTTGTGCACTGATGACATGAAATCCAGGGATATAAAGAAAGGCTGTTGTGGGATGTTCATGACAGTTTGTGCACTGATGACATGAAATCCAGGGATATAAAGAATCGCTCGTGGGATGTTCATAGGGGATGTTCAAGAAGTGCTGGATGGTGCACATACAGCCATCGACCTCCAACACTGCATCCTGGGGTCAGGATCTCCTTCCTATTAATTTTAACACAGTTTCACTAACAACAGTCTCGATATTTTATCCTTGAAAGAGGATAAAAGTGATGAATTGACTAATTGATGAATTAAGAAGGTTTTCACAATTGTCAGTGTGCATTAGGAAAGAAAAGGAGCTATATCCGATGGAAGCGAGTCTAAAATTAAGCAAAAGACAACTCTATTAGGAAAAAAATCCTGTAACAGTGAGATCTATTGGACTTCATACAGTTTCTTCAGTGGTATTAAAAAATACTCCACCACCTCAATCATTTAAAAATAGATTGGACCAAGCAGTACAAAAATATATTGCAGGGAACACAGCTATATCAGCACGGCAGTAAAACAGATGAGCTAATAATTCTCTTTTCTCTCATCTTCAGGCTCGTGCATGACAAGATTTCCGCAGTAGTCAAAATTTATTTACCTGCGACCAACACAATTTTCAGAGTTCAGATTTGGTGCAAATTAACATCTCTCTGGGAGGAAAGGCATGCACCATTTATCAAGGGAGAAATATTACGGTTCTGAAGTGGAGGGGAGGCAGGGAGGGGTAAGGTTATTTAGTGCAAACCAGCTGGGGACAAAGACTTTCAGAAAGATGAGAACAAACACACTTCAGAAAATCTACCCCCATATGATGGGAAGCTGAACCCTCTACAGAAACTCCTGCTCAGTTGCAAGTGTTCAGCTCTTGAGAAAAAAAACCAACCAACCAAACAAAAAAAAAACCCCAAACCCCACCAAATCCTGGCTACAGCTCTCTACCTATTGTAACTGGTGTCAAGAACACCTCCCCTGAAGGCATCATAATTTTTATGAACTTTTCAGCTCATCAAGGACCAGAGCTCACGTGAGAGGACTTTCACACGAAAGCTGTGTTCCACAAGACCAAACTACTTGGTAGAATCAAACTAAAACGTGGAGGGGACCTTTAAACAGGCCAAGTTAAAATCACACTCTTACTCTACCTGATCAGATACTAGAAAAAAAAACCCAACACCTTGAAGCAGAAGAATGTAAAACTCCTGGTGAAGTCCTCATTATTTGAGCAACATTATTTTCTAATTAAACCAACCATTGTATCACCAGCTGGACAAGCGGTACCGTTCCTCGGTGCTTAATGCAAACCAATTCAAAGCAAAGAGGAGAAGATGAAAATCTCTCTCTATTGTTTTATTTTGCCTCTAAAGAACACTGTTTCAGGTACCCAAGCAAATAACCAAAAGAATAGTTATCTGAGCAGCTAATCTTACATGACCAATGCCGGGCTCCCAGCTTGTAGGAACCACAGATGAGTTGCTGAGAGTTTGCCCCCCCCCCCTCTGAGCACTGTTTTCTTTAAGGATTCCAGACCTAATTCACAAAAACATTATTTCTGTAGAAACCATAAAACTTCCTTCATAGCCATTTTGCTTTGTTTCTAGCTCCTTTAAAACAAAACAAGCTCTGACTCAGATATAATTAGAATAATCTCCATTCATTCTAGTACTGAGCAGATTTATGACACCTTGTATATTCACAGAAGAGTCACATCTTCAAAAGGTTTCAAGGATGAACTGCTACGCCTCAGGGACTAAAAAGCCCTTTAAGATTGGGGTCAAGCTAGGCATTTAGATTCAAAAATAATAAATAAATCCGTTTGGAGACAAAGGCCTATTGTATAGCACTCTTCCAGGAAAACCCATGGGTGGCTGAGAATTCCTTGGGAAAACTTTGCATAAATTAATTCTGAATTATTCTCAGTTCTTTCTTCCACACTGAAAAGAGGGGTCTATGGAGGGAGAAAAGCAAGTTCACACAGGGCCAGGGAATATCTGGCTTTCCAAATGTAGAACTAGAAAATGTTCATGGTTCTTGGGACACTGAAAGAGAGAACCAGCCCGTGGCTCATTGAGAACCTGGGGCACCATCAGCTCCAGCTACAAGGGTGTGCACACACATCTAGAAGGTATGGCAGGGAGGGCAAACTGCAGCAGTCAAAGCTTCTGTGGTGTGATAGTTCCAAGGAACCACTTCCCACCCTCTGCTCAAAAGGAAGAAAAGGCAAAAAAAATACCCAAACAAAAAAAAAAGAGTCCCACTGTTCCTCATCTGCCACCAGGTAGATGCTGTCAAGCTGACACGCAGAGTTCATTAGAAAACACAGAGTTTTACTCAGGAATTTTGTAGCGTCCTATAGAATTATATAGAAATTAATCCTTAGGCTACACAGTTCTTTGCATTAGTTCAGAAAAAACATGAAAATATCATGCTATATTATGGGCTTTTATGTTAATATTTATAGAAAAAACACTATCATGCTATATTATGGGCTTTTATGTTAACATTTATAGAAAAAACGCTATTTTTTATTCTTAACTGTGCAATCATGTGTTAACAATTATCACCACAAAAGCTATTTTAGTTCTTCCAAGTTATACAACAAACTAGACAGCAGGGACAGCTTTGAACCTTTGAACATCAGGTTCTTATTTACTATGTCGTCCTATTTTTAGGTCATCATTTTACACATCTGCTGAAAGCACTTTCTCTGTGTCAGGCAATTCTCCTGGTAAAACTGCTTCAGGTACCAAGCTGCTGAGGAGGAGCAGTGCAACCTTGATTCAGGGCTTAATTAGAGAACAAGACCTTCTCCCAGAGAGCTGGGAAGATTCACAGACTCAGCAAGGGAAGGACATGGTGCTTCCATTATGCCACGTTATTTGCCCAGGAGTTATGACTGAGTTAGAGCATAGCCCTGGGGAATCATCTTAATTAACAGACACTGACCATGATTTTGAAGTCAGTGTAGACCTGCTATTAAATAGCTCTGTGTGTGTTCCAGAGCCTCTGAAACCAAGTGTTTATCCATGACCAGGCAGCCCAGTCTTGAACATCCCTTGCAGCAGTCAGTACAAGCAGGACGTTCACCGCTGTATGCGTCAACCTGAATTCCCCAGCTTAGCTCTGATTCACTGCAACTTTCTGGGGAAGACCTTTGTATTGTGTTTAAAATCTGGCATTCAAAAATCAAAGAAGCATTCATCTTCCACCAGTAGCATTGAAACTCACTTTTCTGGAAGTTTCCATACTGCATTTGAGATGAACACAGGGGAGGGTAACAGTGCATAAAGTACATACCTTTGGCAGAGCTTGGAGAAAGAGAAGCCACAGCTCTACAGGTACGTCCTGGGCTCCTCCTGAAAAAAAATCCAAAACAGTAAGTGTTACAAAATACAATAATCTAAAGCAGCTGTTAGAAAAACGACCGGAGAAAGAGAAGCCACAGCTCTACAGGTACGTCCTGGGCTCCTCCTGAAAAAAAATCCAAAACAGTAAGTGTTACAAAATACAATAATCTAAAGCAGCTGTTAGAAAAATGAACTCTAAAATGTTCTCTCAGTCTAAAATAAAAGAAACCACCATTCTGGCGTCTGCTAGAAAATTTCACAATTACTTGTAGCCCATCTACTCCAACTAACATTGTTATATTTTAAAGCTGAGTCACCTTTTGTCCATGAAACATCTTTTCTGAGGCAAGAGCCTCCATGTCTATGTGAAAGCCAAGGCAACATCCACTGTGTTTATTATTCTGCACAGAGAAACAGTGCCAACCTTCCTGCAACACCCACTTTAGCTGCTGAAATCCAGAGAACTGAATGTGCTGCTGTTAGCATTTGGAGACAGAAATATGTTTTGATGCAATACATCAGGCACAGGCTCGCTTGGTGACAAGAAAGCATTAGATTCCATAACAGGTTAAGAGAGAGCCAAATAAGAAAACACTGGATGCAACTCAATAGAGTAACCTCTACTCATCCTCTTTGAAATTTTTCAAGTGTTCTAATACCACGGAAGGTGGTAAACAGTTACCTTCTCCTAGCTCGTCACACAAATGACAGCTTGATTGATGTATACAAATGTTCTAACACTACTCTATGTTGGGTTTAATACAAAGGTACGTATGAGTCAGGACTACCAGGATGGAGAGAAGACACCAGCTTCCCTGCAGTGGGAAGGACACTATAGGATGGATATATCCACCTATATATCCACCACTCAGCTGGATATATCATGTCCAAAGTTCCCATTTTCCCCCTTTGAGTTGGGCCAGCTGTAGATCTGAAGCAGGAGGGGAAAAAACTCCCTTCCAACTCCTGTGATTCTGTGAACACCTCCATCCCTCTTGTCCCCATCTCCTCAAGTTCTGAGTCCCATTTTTCTCAACACTCAATAGATCAAGTCCACCACACTGGAGGGCCATAAAGATGCTCAGAGGGCTGGAGCACCTCTGCTACAAAGACAGGCTGAGAGAGTTGGGGTTGTTCAGCCTGGAGAAGAGAAAGCTCCAGGGAGATCTTAGAGCCCCTTCCAATACCTAAAGGGGGCTACAGGAGAGGCGGGGAGGGACATTTAATTGAGGAGTGGAGTGATAGGATGAGGAGTAATGGTTTTAAACTGAAAGAGGGGAGATTTAAATTAGACCTTAGGAAGAAATTCTTTCCTGGGAGGGTGGTGAGACACTGGAACAGGGTGCCCAGAGAAGCTGTGGCTGCTCCATCCCTGGAGGGGTTCAAGGCCAGGCTGGATGGGGCTTGGAGCAACCTGGTCTAGTGGGAGATGCCCCTACCCATGGCAGGGGATTGGAACTTGGTAATAACCTTTAAGGTCTAACCTGAACCATTCTATAATCCTATGATAACCACACCATAACACTGCTGAACATACCAATCAGGTATCATGTGGTACCAACCGATACCCTAAAGCCCTTTCCACCAGCAGAGATGTTTTGCCTGCATGCCTAGCCCAGCTGTCTGTCTTCCTGTGTCACTCAGCACTTAATTTCTCACTTACTGTCTGTAAAGTGGGAAGAGTAACACCATTCTACCCAATTTGGGCGCTATGATGTGCTGACATACCTATAGAGGAACTCCAACAAAGAAAAGAAAAGAGTGGCAGAGCTGTATCTTCCCTTTCTATCCTCTACTTACTCTGGATCAAATCCCCTGTCCAATGTCTATCTTTTAGCCACAGGACCAATCAAAGCCACTCAAGTGATAATCTGACTCTCACACTCTAAGGCAGGTGCTACTATGGAAAACACAGAGGTTATTATTTTTTTTCCACACTGTACTAATTCATGAGGGGCAAATGACAGCTACGGGTTGCCTGTAATGTGTCAAACTTGGATTGTTCACCTGCACAAAAGCTTTTTTTACTCAAATCATGCCCTACCCTCAGTGACACTTCACAAATAGATGCCTCTGAAAACAGAAAAAAAAACCAAACCAAAACCAAACACCAAAAAATGTCAGATCTCTTTAAAAAAAAAAGAAGTCCTGGTTGGTTTTGGCTGAAATGTAGTCAAAGGCTGAGAACAGTGACATACATATAGCCCTGATTCCAACAAGACTGCTCAAAGAAAATCGTGGATTTTCCCTACACCACAAGACAGCAAAATGCCTAAGTATACTTAAGCAAACATTATTATGAATAGCAATAATGTAATTGTTGCCATTAGATAAGAATGGTTCATGTCAGAGTAACTTATCTCATGTCAATTCAGAGTGCCAAAAGACTGTTGTTTCCATTGGTTCACAATGGAGGAGAAATTCATCGAGAGTCCAATTAAGTTCAATCACTAACACATGCTTCCCACGGATATCCCGGAGGATCAGACACACATTGCAACTACATTCCTAACAACTAGAAAGGCAGCAACGGCAAAATTAAATTCTGCCTTAAAAGTGGTGATTTATAGCTTGAAGGAAGTTTCCAGGATGCCACCCGCTCCCTGCAAAATGGTCTGGTGAGGGCGAAACATGCACAGATTTCCTTTCTGGCAATGGTCTAACTTTTGCTTAGGTGGGTGCCGTGCAGCTTCCAAACAGCTTGAGCAAGATGACAGTACAGCCTCTGAATTATTAATTTTTAAATTAAGTAGTATGCAAAATGTACAGAACATATGTTCTGACTCAGACACTATTTTAGCGCTCAAGTAAATTTTCTTAATGACTTACAAGTATGAAATATTCAGATATCCAGGTAGGAGCAGCAAAAGTACATATCCTAGATACCATCAATAAAGATGCTGCGATACTGGAAGTTGCTGGAGGTAGAAGGAGATATTTTGGGCAACCCTCCCCACATCTCATGAGGGACTCTCATTCATAATTATTCCACTTCATCGCCTCCTCCCAAACCACCCTTTGCAGTGCTGCTTCATTATTGTTCACCATGAGATTTTTGCTTTTCAACCTCCCAGCCCATACTTTTGGGACACAGCATTCAAGCAGAAACAAGTTAGAAGACCTGGGCGAGACCATGTATCCAACAAATTTGGATTCTCCCGTATGCAAAACCCAGGAGGAAGCTTAAACAGAGATGTTTTGTGCCCTAGTATGAGATATTCCATGACAGAAAGGGTAAGAACATTTCCCTGTTCTTCTTTTGATTTTGATGGAGTGAATATTGTCCTGAATTTACTGCATTGAGTTTCAACTGCTGAATCTCTGCCCCTCTCTAACCACGTCGTATCTTCAGGTGGACAATGTGTCTTCCTGCCCCTTGACTTCTCCTTCCCCAGAGGACACGGCTCAGCGACACAGGAGGACTTCAGCAGAGCCCACTCTCATGGGGTGCCAAAGGCAAGGTAGGGATCAGCCGGGTTAGTGGGATGCAGAAATCAGTGCCAGGCTGCTCAAACCTTCACTCTTCTTCTCTTTTGATCATGAGACAGTGCCAGGCTGCTCAAACCTTCACTCTTCATCTTCTCTTTTGATCATGAGGGATCACCCAACTGCAGCTTTATTATTAAATAGCTCACTCCTGAGTATCTCAGGCAAAGTTTTAAGACCCAACGAAACATAGGTTCCTCCAAAATGAGCTCCTGCCTTGTGAAAGAGGTCCAGTGGGCTCCAGAGAACTTGGTACTATCCTGTACTATTTTGACCACTATGAAGGCATTTCAAACTTAAGGTTTTACATAGATCCTGGAATGACTGTGGTTTTTAACTCTTCCAAGGAAAGGCTACACTGAGGTCCCTGGAATAAGCACTAAAAGTTCCTGGAGCTGAACTCTGTAGCTCAAGCATGCTGACAAACAGGATCCACATTTTAAAAATAATAATAAAAATAATTAAAAATAAGTACCAGTGTCCACACTATACAGAAGCATGTGTTTATCAGAAAACAAAGAGCACACAAACAGGATCCACATTTTAAAAATAATAAAAAATAAGTATCAGTGTTCACGCTATACAGAAGCACGTGTTTATCAGAAAACAAAGAGCATGTATATTCATCCTTCTACTCACAAGAGTCTAACTCAGTGTCAATTCTTGCCTGCAAAAATGAGTCTGGCACATCAAAGGATGGCTGCTGTGCCACCTGAAATCATGTCAAGGCTGTCATTTTCCACACACCTCCCAGGAAGGAGAAACATGCCCAGTTCCACGGTGTATGTGATGCATCAGAGAGTCAGCACCCCTTCTGTAAAACCTGAGTGTGGGGGAGAAGGGAGGAAGGAGAAGGGACAGAAGGGAGTGTCACTGCCTTTGCCATTTTTGAAAGTAGCCCCTGTGCAAGGCACTGAGGGTTTAACTCACAGCATACACTGAAATTAATTTTCCCAACTCCATCACTGACTTTCCATGCCTTTTTAAACAAAAAGCCAGAAGAGCATCAAGGAGCACAGCAGCAGCAGCGTTGCTGTTGAGAGGTCTTACAACAACCACACCTTCTGAAAAAATGACTCAAGTAACGCGAAGAAGAACAGAAGATCACAAAAGGAAGCTGATGATGAAGGGACACTTTTCCCCCTCCTGTAGCCTTACGGGGACTGCAATCCTAGCAACCAGAGGTGTTCAAAAGCCTGTGTAGGAGAATTGGGGGAAGAAAGGGTCACACTGTTTATAGTACACAGACACAGAGACCGCAGCAGGAGCCAAATGAGGAGAATAACTTCTGTGCATGAACAAAAGAATGAAAGGAAATGGGTAGGTAAGGACAACTGTAGGATTTGTATAGAACAGAAGAGAATCCCTTCCACGGAGGATGCAATTTCTTCCATGGAAAAGATGTTTCATCCCTGGAACTGGATGACATAACTCCTCTGGAATAGTAACCTCGCAGTGTTTGTTATCTGTGGTTCCGTTACTACACGGGTTGCGGCTCTTATAATCAGCACTTTATCAGCTAAAAAGTCAAAACATTCCTTGCATCCATCTATTTAGTCTTGTGTCACCTTTACGAGACGGGTATCAACCAAGACTGAAAGGAATGTCTGGTGTGAATTATAAATACTTTGAAGAGTTCTCAAAGCATGAGTACCCAACGCTTTCTCAAAATAAGCTCCTGGGCCACTTCATACCAGTAAACCTTTCTGATATCCTGGCTGTTTCCCCTCTTTTAGAGCCAACAAAAAGGAGGTGTGCAGAGGCACCAGACAGCTTCTTTACAGAAATCTTATTTACAAACCTAAAAGAAGGTAGTTGGGTTTTTTTCAGCAGTCGTCAAGCACTTCAGATCTCACTAGGAAAATTACATGCCACCTGCAGAATGCTACAGAACGGTTTGAAAACCTATGAAAAGGCATCTAATAAATCCCACAGGATTTCAAACAAATGCCTACAAAAAAACCCCACTGCATTCAACTGGAGCCCACACATGCTTCCCTATGGACAGATTAAGGAAAGTGGTCTGCTTGTTGACCTGCTTGCCTATGGACAGATTAAGGAAAGTGGTCTGCTCGTCCTGCTTAAGTATTAATTACTCAGTCCACAAGTGTGAAAATACCTTCCTAACTGAATTGCGTCAGAAATACACGCGGAGTCCTTATTTTTTGACTAATGGTATTATTTTACCACGATTACTTCTATGTGGACTCCTCCTCCATGGCACCAGGTGAGCTGAACCAGGCTGCCACTTAGCTCTTATCCCGGTTTTCTGTGGGCTGCTTCAAGGATGCTCGTGAGGAAAAGCAAATCTGCTTTCAATAGGTTTAAGTCAGGTGGGCAGGGAGCTGCAGCTGATAAAAAGTCCTAAAGGGTCCACACACAGAAATGTGTTGAAAAACAACTATTTACACTCACAGTACACTAATTAGTGCCCTGAAAGTAATTTCATTAAGCCTTTTTTTCACAATCTAAATCATCACACCGTTATCTGGCGCTATCGGAAGAACACCTAAATAATCCGGAAATGCAAGTTGCAGCAAGGCAAAAATACACCAAAATTCAGTAAAAAAGGATCCCCAGGATTTGATGGAGCTGTGACAAGCATCCAAGAGAAACACATTTCACCGCTAAACTTTTTCATGTTATTTCCAACTGATTTTTGACACTGGAACTGGCTTTTAATAGATGCAAAGGAGATAAATGTCTCATTACCAAAAATAAATCCGTCTGTTAAGGATGACAGAGAGAGGCAGAAGCACTGCACTGCCTATTATGGTATTGAGCAACAGATTTCACTCCCTCTGCTATAAGCCCATTAATTAAAAATCTGACAACCTCTTCCAAAGAATTTCTGAGCTTCTTTGGTCCTCTCTTTAATTCCTCCATAATTCTTTGTATATATAAACATGTCAGGCCTGGAAAGAAGCGGGGCACGCACATAATTTACCACAGAGCTCTTTTTGTACTCAAATACAAAAACTGGGAAGAAAACAATCACAGACAAAAGGAGAATAATGCGAGAAATTAATGAAGTGAAACAAATGCACCTGCAATTCCCTGTCCAGTCACCAGATGAAGCTGCTTTAAAAAAACACCAGCGCCGACCAGCTGCCTTTTTGACCACAGAGACCTCGGACGTCGGTGCCAGAAGTAGATGCACCAGCTCCCAGGAAGTTAAATCACTTTGTGTTACAGCCCCTGCTCCCTGACCGGGCGAGACACTACTTTAATAGGAAATGGTAGCTTGCTTTAACAGTACCAGCGTGTCGCACCGAGCCAGAAGAAGGCAGCCAGGCCTTTGTTCTCTTTGTAAAATTCCCTCCCTATGGCCAGAGGAGCCATTTTATTCTCACAATTGGTATCACACAGACCCAGATGAAGCTGCTTTAAAAAAACACCAGCGCCGACCAGCTGCCTTTTTGACCACAGAGACCTCGGACGTCGGTGCCAGAAGTAGATGCACCAGCTCCCAGGAAGTTAAATCACTTTGTGTTACAGCCCCTGCTCCCTGACCGGGCGAGACACTACTTTAATAGGAAATGGTAGCTTGCTTTAACAGTACCAGCGTGTCGCACCGAGCCAGAAGAAGGCAGCCAGGCCTTTGTTCTCTTTGTAAAATTCCCTCCCTATGGCCAGAGGAGCCATTTTATTCTCACAATTGGTATCACACAGACAGACCTCCCGTGCTGTCACACGCACACACTTGTGCTCTCACAGCCAGCCATACTCACAGATATTTTGCTGCTTTTTCGTCTTCGTCTTCTCCTTGGATGATATAAAAATTGCCCCACAAAGCAAAACTGCACAACTGTGCAATCACAACAGTTTTTGCTCACTTAAAGAAACAGCCTGGGAAAAAAAATTCTCAGGGATATCACTGTTTTGTGAGGTTCGAAGCTGGACGTGCACGTAAAAACCAACGCAGAAGAAGTCCTTCCACCATGTCATACAAAAAACGGGATCCCCCGTTTTACTGAGCTCCTCATCTGTCCTCTAAAGCAAACCCAGTCGAAGCAGTTCTTCCCTGGCGTGCGGGAGGGCTCGACAGCCTAATAGGTCTCTTCCACCTCTGAGCGATTCCTGCCTTGCATGGCTTGTTTTTATTGACTTATCTTCCTGGCTGTTTGTGGGCAGAAGCACGTGCCTCATGCAAATGCCAAGACCCCTCTTGCTTTGGGATGCTATTGCGCAAAAGCAGGTGATCAGAATTAAAACAAAAAACCCATAATTTCATTTCTGAAGGATTAATTCCTTATCATCATGCATAGTTTTTTTTCCATATACAGAGAGATGCTTCGGTAATATCACCCCACAGACGTTTTATTAATTGATCTAGCCCTTCCAGTTCAGGGTCACAGGCTTTCCTGCTCCTGCTCCACCACAGCTGATATCTGAGCTGCTGGGCAAAGATTAGAGCTTTAACACCTTGAGCTGGGATTCCCGGTGCACCGAGGGAGAAGTCTTGACAGCCAAGACAACCAGCAGGACAGAATAAATACGCGTTCTGAAAACATCAGACTGTTAAGAGTGAAAGACACTTCTTCATCAAAACCATTTCCTTTGTGCACCTTTTTATCTGCGCAGAGACTGGTGGTGACATTTCAAGTCAGCAGAAGAAAATGCTGCTTTCACAGCATTGGCTAATGAGGTCCTTGGCTAATACAAATAACCCAAGAGGAACCCCAACTCTGAGTATGCCTTAAGGAGTTACTGTAGCATCAATATTAAATCACAACACTTATTAACATTGCCTTTCTGACTTCCATTTCCAAGCCAAAGTACAGAGGGAAGGAAAAAAAAAAAAAATCCATCTCTTACCTTGAACAAACTTAACATGCATTCCAGCATTAATTCACCACATGAGATTCCTTCCCTAAGTCTATCACCAGGTGAGGAGAAGCAGGCTGGGGGAGAGCACTTAAGAAATAGAGAACTCCCAATTTCTAACTATCCACCATGCGAAAATAACCAAGCAAGCTGCAGTTTTAAAAGTTAATCAGCAAAAGTTAGCTACAGGAAAGGAAAATCTGCTTTCACTGCTTGGAAATGTTCCTGATTTTTTTCAGTGGGAACATTCAGTAGTGGATGTTAATATTTAACTCTGTGTTTTTCCAGTATTACACCAGTCTTCCTCCAGGGATGCAGAGGAAGGCAGTGCCATAGCTGAACAGTTATTCTCATTTAAAAGCAAGAGAAGTGACCACCACAGAAAAGAGAAAACAGCAACAGAAAATACAAGAAAGAGGGTAAGTTTCTGAAAAGAAACTTTCCATATCACACATCACAAAACCACCTTAATGAATCAGCAATTTGCACAGACAATAAGGGATGAAAAAGATGTTAATAAAAATCATCAACTACCCCCCTTACAGTTGTTTGGAGAGCAACAGCACTACTTTACTTGGTCACTTGGTATTTCTAAAAGTGCAGCAGGTCAACCTCAAGAAAAAACCTTCAAACATTGGCCAGTGAAGACCTACTCCTATCTATAGCATTGCTCTTCCAGCTGCCAGGCAAACACGACAAGCTCAGTCAGGGACATCCCGGCCACCCTACTCAAAACATTCTTATTACCTAGTGTTCTATAATCTTGTTATGAGACACACCTTCCTTCTGCCTGCCCATTTTTTGCTGATTTCTTCCTGAATGTTTTCCGAGTCCTTTTCCTTGTTAGTGAGAAAGAAGACTTCCAGTTTAAATGCTGAAAGGAATCTGCCCACCCTCGCAGTGAGACATAAGGAGGAAACAACTGGGTGTTCAGAGATGGTAGAACCTGTTGTCCTCCGGTGAACACGTACCCCATGTCCTCCCTGGTGCCCGAGCAGAGGGACGTAGGGTAGTGACAGGCCTGTTCTTCAAACACACTGCGCCAGGGGACACGATCCTGACATTTCTAATGAAAATCAGTAGTAATGACGAGTGACCATCACCTTTGAAAGGAGAAACATGCTGTTTTGGTGCTTTGAAGACTCTGGATGGAAAAAGCCTACAGTGTTAGAAAACACAATGAGTGAATAAAAGTTGGCATGTACTTCCAGACGCCAGCCTCATTGTAATGAGATGCAGAAGGAAAGTCGATACTCCTGCAGACAGTGAAAACCTCATCATATCAGTGCCTTCCATCCCCCACCATCCTATTCAGCATCTTTACGTGGGAGGCATTCTGCAGCCTTTCACACTTGACCTCTTAATTAAAGCATGGTAAAATTAACATCTCAGACCCGATAGATCCTTTACCCACCTACATCAGTAATTAAAGTAATTCTCAAGGGAGCGAGAACATTTGTTATGTGTGATGTAACTTTAGCTGGGGTATTCCAAAGAAGGAAAAAGAGCTGATGTAATAAATGCAGTCATTTATATTTTAAGGGAGCTATTGTAAATGAAATAGGAACACCTGTGACAGCTCGAGGCAGCCCCAGCCAAATGAAATCTTTTGTGTCACCCAGGGACAGCACATTGCATACGGCCTCCCCATCTCCAGCTGCAATATTGAATAACTAAGTGGTGAAGCAGAGATATTTTATGCCTTCTCTGACTCAGGTGCTAGCACTATAACCTGCTTTCAAAACCCATGAAACTGTACCTCATAGTAATTTCACATTACAAGAAAAGCAGGATAGGTCAAAGTAGGTCTAAGGTCTTTCCTAAGGGTAATACAGTCTCTTAGGGTGCTAGCACTATAACCTGCTTTCAAAACCCATGAAACTGTACCTCATAGTAATTTCACATTACAAGAAAAGCACGATAGGTCAAAGTAGGTCTAAGGTAATACAGTCTCTTAGTTTTGCATTTGTGACAATCCTAGAGGTAGATCTTGACTCATGACTGAGACACGTCTAGTCTCTACCACAATACAAATAATTAAATAATGTAGAAAGAGTTTATGTAATTAAAGATGAAAATGACAGTGGCAGAATTTAATATTCTCTTCATACTGACATATAAAGGACCAAGCAATAAGAAAAAGGTCCAAGAAAGTAACAAAAAGTGTATATAGAACCAAGGAGGTGTAGAGGATACTTGAAGAGCTACAACAGCGCAGAACACAAAGCCCATTCATTTAGGAAATGGGATTGATCGCTGACATCTTCTCAGATGTGAGTTTGAGGGCTTGAGTTTGGGCTTGAGTCTGAAAGCATGAAAAAACACTATTTCAGTTGTCAAATCTGGCACTTGCTCGAAGGGCCTCTTTACTCAGCTGAGGAATAACTGTTGAGAAACACGGCCCAGCAAAAGTCTGTTTCCCAACACAGTGACCAGGTAACCTCTTCTAAAGATTTGTTTTAAGCTGCATATGGGCAATCCAGATCTCATGAGCTTCAGAAAGTCCTCCCAGACACCTCCTCCACTCAGGGTTTAAATGCACAGAGTTCAGACCATAAGCGGCCAGCACACACGTGTTGTGCTGTCTCTCTCCAAAATACAATCAAATCCACACCAGGTAAGGTCAAAATATCCCCAGTCCTTCCTTGCTGTATTATTAAGCAGTCAAACAAACTGTATAAACTACATTCTAAGCCCTTGTCTTCAAGTTTAGTTGATCCCATGATTCATCCACAGGGAGCTACTCAGTTAAGACTGATTGCCTGTCAAAAAAACCAAAACAAAACACACCAATCTATTATTTCGGAGAGAAAGAGAGCAGAAACCCTTCCCAACTCTCACACCCATGGTGGAATTAGTGCATCACCTGCAAGAGGGAACCATGACTCACTTAGAGGCATCCTGCAGCACTGTCTATACCTGTTTCTCTGACGGAAGGAAAGAGGGACCATACAATGTCCTTTTGATAAAGCAACAAGGTTGGCGGGGGAGGTTGTTTTGGGTGGGGGTGTTTGGTTTTTGGTGAGGCGTTTTTTAGTTTTGTTTGTTTTGGGTTGGGTTTTGTTGGTGTTTTTGTTTGGGTTTGGTTTGTTTGTTGTTTGTTTTTTTTTAACACAGGCAATAATGTGTTGGTATTCAGGCCACTCCTTGATTTTTAATATAAAATTAAAAAAAAAAAAGTCAGGCTACAAAATGTTTCTCATAAAATTGGTAACATGACAATCAAAACAGTCCAAAACCAAAGTCCAACGGCAAAGATTTTTAAGAATTAATTTGTACTTAGCAGTAATCGAAAACCAAATGCTTCCCCTAGATAATTTAAAGCCTTCTCTCTCTCCCCCAGTGTTGCTAAACTGAAAGAGCAGGAGCTCTTTCTCACCTAGACCCCCACAACAATCTCCCTGACATAAAGGGAGGCCATTGCTTTAGCTGCTTGGAAGTTTATATAGAGTGACTCACTGGCTTCTGTCGGGGGGGTTATCAAATGAGTGGCCGCCCCTCCAGCCCCCAAGGGAAACAAACCCACTCCTGCCAGCACTATTAAGCGTTGGACTCCTTACTGCAGTCTCATCAAAGACCAAGAAATGGACTTAGCAAATTTAGCCTTGCACATTTGAGAATTGCTCTGTTGCTCAGCCAAATTTCAGGCACACAAACACAACCACCGAGTCATTGTGGTGGCTGTGAATTCTGCACCAAGTCATCAAAATATTGAGTCCAAGCAAAACACTGTGAAGAAAAATACTTAATTTCTCATCTATTTCAAATACCTTTTTCTTGGCTTACGCCACTCTCTATGATTAATCTTTAAAATGTTGCTAAGGAAATGAGACAGCTAAATGGTCATTGTCTTAAGTACACACTGAACACATCTAATAACGCAGCCAGTTTATTCCAGTTCTACTATGCAAAGCATCAAATACAGAGCACATGACAGCTAAAATAATCAAAGGCATTCAGTTGCAAATAAACAAGGCCAAAGCAGAACACGAATATAGGAAGAGGGGATTTTAAACCTCTTAGAAACAGATTGTTATCAGGAAAGGCAAAATTGACTGGGCAAGTTCCCATCATATTCAGGGTACCATCTGGAAAATGAAGAGAATGTTTTTAGAAGTAATTAAGATAACATATTATGATATTAACAGTATTAATTGGCTCAAAGGACCACATTCTCAATGAGTACAGCGCAAGTATCTTCTGAAGTCAGTGGTGTTACACCAATTTATAGTGTAATACCATAATAGCAATATTAACACA